TATATAGTAGGGATGGGAAGATTAACCGATATGTATCGATACGCGGTCATGCGCGTGCACGATGCGAGTGCATCGGTTGAGCAGCAGAGGATGAATGAAATTTTGGAAGCAAATCGAGATGCATCGGTTTTTGCGAGATGCATCGATTTTTCCGAGATACAGCTTATATTTTTAATATAGAATGTATTTTTTTATTTATTAACAAGTGTTGTCAACCTGTTTTTGGCGCATAATTTAATCGACCTACATAAAGTAAGCCTTAGCAACGGATTTGCGGATGTGCACACACTACAACTCAGTGTATCAGGTGGCGGATGAAGCTAGTGGAGCGCCCTCAGAAAGTGCGAGAAGCAAAACAAACATTTTATTCCACACTGAGTTTTAAATCTAAAGTATGGCAAGCAACATTGTGGATTTAAGGATGGACGACATGACAGGACAGATGCAATTTGCAAAATGTGCCGCGCATCTGTAAAATACGCGGGCAGTACGACTAATCTGAAATCTCACTTGAAGCAGCGCCACGGTGTTGTTGTGAAAGCATCTTCCAGTGTTTCTGCATCCCCGGCTTTCGCACTGCTTCAACCAGCTCCAAAAGTGGTGAGAAAAGCATTGCAAGTTTTTTTTTCCGTGCGCAACAGTTCTGCTCGCTCTACGCCAATAACGGATGTTATTGCATTGTTCATCTGCAAAGATATTCAGCCTAGTGTCACGGAGAACGAAGGTTTTAAACACCTCCTCCTGTTAATTTTTATTTAATTATAATAATAATAATATTAATAATAATAATGATAAAAATAATTGGGTGTCACGGTGGCACAGTGGGTAGTTTGACCACCTCACAGCAAGAAGATTGCTGGTTTGTTATATTTTTATTAGCCTGTTGTTTACAGTGACAGTGATGTTTCAAAGCAGCATAACACTGCTAGTTCACAACCTTAAGTTTTGAATAATCAGTGGCAAAATATCTTTGTAAAACTTGTTTTCATAGTTGAAAAGTTAAATCACAATTCTTGTTGTGCAATGCTAAATTTATTTATGTTGAAAGAGTGCAAATATATACATATTTTTTTAATTGATATTGCACTTATACATTCTGTTTATCTTGAAAATACTTAAATAATATGTGCTATATGTTCTAAAATGGCCCTCTACTGTAAACTGACACTCTGGCTCTGAGAGAAGAGCCAGTTTGTAAAAAAAAGTCTTGGTTTTGCTTGGTTTATAAATAATCAAACTCATTCAATGGCACAGCATCCTCTTTCACATCGTCTCATAAACTTGATCTAATTAGTGCTGAAATATCGCATCGTATCGTGATATGGGTGTGAATCGTATCGTGTCGCATCGCAATATGTCACAAATGTATCGCTAATATATCGGATCGTATTCTTTGTATCGAGATGCGTATCGGATCGGCATTATAGCTTAGATGCCCAACCCTAGTATATAGGGCTACGTATCAATAATGAGGGTTGCATTTATGTAATAGTCAAAAACATTTGGCGTTCTCCAGAAATGTATTTTTAGAATGAGTCCGGGTCGTCCTTGTCACAGCACCAGTGGCACTAAAATCAGCTACCAAAATGCATATGCTGATTTGGTTTAGTGCATACCAGTTACATAGGTAGCCGTGCCCTATTAGCACCGGGTTTCGTTAGTATAATAATAAGTATAATAACAAATATTTAAATCTAATAGTAATAGATTTTAAGTGTATTAAGTGTTTGTTGTCCTCAAAGTTCTCATATGGAAGACTTTGTGGTTCTATCTCACTTCAGAGGATTTATTGCACATGTAATTTACAATCAGTGTTACTTGTCCACTCCTGCTTAGTGATCTGTCATTTATCTCACTCTTTTAATTCCAAGTATAGCTCACATTACGCTAATTGTAAGCCCCAGTATCTCTGGTTGCACTTTTGGGTTAAGTGCTCAAGGACTTAATGGAGATTATAGGAAATAAAGCTATTTTCAGTTCACAGGTCAACCCTACACGGGACTGAATTACCTTTTAGTGCTGCATTTGCCACTTGGGTCAAGGTTTTGCTAGTTAGCCCTACGGTAAATCTCGAAAATACATCTTTTATTTAATTTTAAGCCATTTAGTGATAGCCATGTATTCTAACTGAGAACAAGTGCAATGTTAAAGGAGAAACGACAGTATTTGAAACTGTGTTCTAGAGCATCTCTGAGTATGATGAAGATCTTATATAGTCTAATTTAATGTGTTAATGACATTTCCACTGAAACAGGTGGGACAAACAGGAGCTTCTCGTTTTTTCATGTATATGGTAGTATTTGTCTATGTCAGAGCTCGGCCAGAGCCGTTTATCTTGCTAAAGCCATATTTGATAACTGATGACAGCAACAGTTTAATAGTAACATTAATGTTGTCTAACCATTTAGTCTAGTCTCTCAATATTTTAATCACTTTATCATTCCAGTGGGTCTGTGGTCTGAACCAACTCGCACATGTGGTGTCTTTAGAACAGAGCAGACTCTGTGCATGCATACATTTGTGTTTATGTGTAGCTTGTTTTCATTAGTTTGTGGAGACCACAACAATCTAATTCTGACTTCATATTTATGTATACTAAATAATTAAAATATATGTTTTTGGGTAGTGGGGCATGGCCATTTTGTCTAGCAACACCCCTGTACATTAATGGGCTATATGATGATATAATTGATGACTTTGCTGCAAAAAAGGCAAGAAAGATCCTGATGTAGTGAAATATTAGTAACATTTCAATTTGTTTGTTTAAGTCAATTATATTTGTTCAATTGTGAGTAATAAAAGGTCAACCACATTCTTTCTATTTGGTTCTACATTTTTTTAAGGGGCAGGGGGGAATAGTAGGATATGGGGTGGTTCCCCCAGGATGCCATTTAAAGGGTCACGAAACACCAAAACACATTTTTTGAGCTGTTGACAGTCGTATATGTGTCCCACACTGCTAAAAACACTATTAGGACACCTATATTTCACTAAAAAGTGTAAATTGGTTGTTTTTGCGTTATTTCAAGCAAATTCGTACTTCCTGTTTGAAACGAATTTTTGAAGCTGGTCATGACATAATAGCGTGTATTCCAGCGTGCAGACTGGGCGTCTGTGCCAGAGTGAGTCTTATTACGTCTTACAGTGTGATGCATTAATGCATGAGTAAGGCTTGGTTCAAACCAATCAGCGCGCTCTATTGTGCAACTTCATTAATATTCATTACTGTCACAGTGTAGACGGCAAAGACGCCACGTTGTGTTGGCAAAACAAGCGTAAAGTGTTGCTTTTATAGTTTGCTGCAGTTAAGTTTCATTTTCATTTTCTCTCTGTGAGAGCGCAGACTCACGTGTGGATTACAGTGTACGCGACGCGCGACAACAATAACTTACGTGTCTAAGGAGGATTATTGTTTACCTGAGAGCTGTTCTCATCTGCAAACGCTGAGATCCAGATTCGCTTGTAGTCTCCTCTTCATAAAGACGCGGCTCTAGTTGCTGGTGATTGTCCTGTCTCTACAGATTTGGTAAGTGAGCGACCAGTGCTCTTTGTTTATTCAGTTCGTATTTTATTCGTATCAAACAAACTATTGCACCGAGTGCAATAGTTAGCACTAACAGTTACAACCAAACTATAACCTCGTGTTGGATTTTGTGACCGGAATAACACACACGGCTTTCTGACGCTACCTGCCGTGTGTATCTAAGTTTCCGGGAAATGCTGAGTTTTTTTTTCTCTCATTCGCCGTGTGGTATCAAACATTGCATGAAAAATACACGCTTAGAGCAGCGCCTAGAATCAAATATCACGTTTGTCGGGAGGGACATTAATGAATTCCCTGAATGAAAGAGCCAAACTGCAGTTAAAGTCCATCATTTAATAATTTGGCAAATAATTCGACTACAGATGTCCATGTAAACACAGTCACATTGTCCGCTGTGGGTGTGTGTTTTGACTCTGAAATTCAGCGCGCCCAAATAGACACTCCCATACCAAGCCGCTTTTCTTCCTCCGACACTCCCCCCTAAACAGAGCTGGACACGCCCACTTTTCTGACTTTTTCCAAAGTAGAGGTGTGAAAACACCCTGCTGAAACGAGGGGGTGTCATGGCCCTTTAAATTAGAACTGCCTCTGCACTTAGCAACTTTCATTTCAAACAAAACAGTCTAGTTCTGGATTGGAGCAAAATGAATGCATACCTCTTTGTCCAATCATCCTTTTTTTCATTAACTTTGCTTTTCTGGACTTTTGACACCCACACACATACAAATGCGCACTGTGCTGAAGATTATCGCCCGTTTATAGCAAACGTCATGACAAAAACTTTAGGAAAACTTCAAATATTGCCTTTGGTTTAGTTTTGGACCACATTAATAAACAGCACACTTAATCCCTAAAACACAATTAGTCCAGCACATTACATTATTACATATATTGTATGCTTCAAGATTGAACACTTGTCTGACGTTGTGTGTTCGAGAGTCTGTAGCCCTTAGGGACTGAATAAATGAATGGATACTACAATATGGGTTATGCATTGCCATGATGTCATCATCTAGACTGATTAACCACATGGCATTTACCACAGATGGAGAAAGACATAAAAGACAGCATGAGACTGAAATATTTCAGAATTACATTTCATGTTAAACTTTAACAACCGAAACCCGTCACCTTCACCTGAAAGCCTTTCTGTTCGGTAATGGATAAATTATTGAACAAGGCTATTTCATATTTTTTTTTTGATGACCAAAGAGAATTTGAGATTTTATTTCTGACTGTTCTGTATTAATATACATTAAAAGAAAATGTCTGTTGTTCATTCTGTTTTCTTATTAAATGATGAATCATTTGTATAGGTGGTTGTGGCAATGAATCAATGCTAACAGCGTTTGCTTAACTGCGTTACTATTGACCCATATGAATTAAGTTATTATTATATGTTTGAACTTTAACCGGCAAATGCAGATGGATTAATAAGTCTATTTTTCTTCTCTAGCTCAGTCCTTCAAAGAGTTTTCCAAGCTGCTGCACACCATGGAAGAGGAGAGAAGGCGGCTGGTAAGGATCTCTACTCTACTTTTTAATAAGCTTAGTATCAACTAGATGCAATGTATTCTGTTAACACCTTCTATTAAAACTTATTTAATTTTTTAAGTAGAACCTCCATCCTTTTTGATACTACAGCAACACCATGTTGTTTTTTGGAATCAACTCTAAAGACCAAGCTGACAGTCGGCCACTGACATTCGTTGGATTGTCAATCTAGCGAGTTGGTTTGATGTGTTCCTCACGTCACTACTTGTCAGGTTAACATTGGTGCGCATTGACATGATTCAGCATACATTCAAGCAAACTTGGGCTGTTTTGGTGTGGATCCAGGCATAATTTACACTTTACCATATTTCCGAATGAACCAAGCTAAGCAAGAACATTTTATTGTAAATACGTGCCTCAGCCTTTATTTTTGTTAAATCTGAAATATGTTGGTTCTGTTGCTCGTTTCAGATGACAAATCCACTAGGGGGAACTTTCTACATTTTTGGCGAATCTTAAAAAGATTACTTAGGGTACGTTTCAGATACATGTCATCTTTATTGACGTTATTCTAAAATGTGGAAGTGCGCCTGTTTTCGCGATTGTCTTAGAACTTCCGTTTCAGTCGCCTATGGGAGAAATGACAAGGAATAATAAACGGCAAAAAAACGGTCAAACTACTTGCTCTACAAACAAATGTTTGCATGACTATACAGACCAAGTAGAATAATATAACAAGGAAATATCAGTTTGCAACATCAAACAGCGAAACGAGCAGTTTTTAATGTCTAAAAATGAATGGAAGTGAATGAGACCGGAAGTCTCGTGCCAAAAAGATTCAAATGGCAGCGCCCGCTCGTCGGCGGAGAATAAGGTCAATACATGTCTATGAGAAGGCGGGGCTTGTCATACAAATTACCTAGCAAACTAATAAATCTAAAACCAGTCTCTGAAATGTTACCAGTTACAAGTACAAAATTCCCAAAGCATACATTCATTCATTCATTCATTTTCTGCCGCTTTTCTGGGGCCGGGTTGCATGGGCAGCAGTCTTAGGAGAGAACCCTAGACATCTCCTTTAGCTCCTCTGGGGGGATCCTGAGGCTTTCCCAGGCCAGCCGAGAGACATAGTCCCTCCATTGGTCCTGGGTCTTCCCCGGGGCCATCTCCCGGTGTGCTGTGCCTGAAATACCTCCCTTGGAAGGCATCCAGGAGGCATCCAAAACAGATGCCTGAGCCACATCAGCTGACTTCTCTTGATGTGCAGGAGTAGCGACTCTACTCAGAGCTCCTCCCGAGTTTCAGAGCTCCTCACCCTATACATAAGAGTGCGCCCTGCCACCCTGCAAAGGAAACTCATTTCGGCCGCTTGTATCCGAGATCTTGTCCTTTCTGTCATGACCCAAAGCTCATGACCATAGGTAAGAGTAGGAACTTAGATTGACTGGTAATTCAAAAGCTTTGCCTTTTGGCTCAGCTCCTTTATAAACGATTGGAAGCATATACAGTCAATACAAAATTGTAATTTTTATTCTTCACCAGCACATTTAATGTTAACATCTTGTTAAAAAGTAATTACATCATTAGAAGTTCACAATAGTCCAAAAGGTGATAATGATAGTTAAGCCTGGCAGTTTGTTCATGTTTTAGGTTGCTTAAAGAATCATTTACTCCTTTGTTTTTTGGCACGTCACTCGCCTTTGTCCTCCTCTAAAAGGATGTCACTTCAATAATCACGCACACATTAAAATCATCAGCTCAAGTTTGCTAGTTCAAACATAGACACGTAGCAAACGATTGCAAATAGAGAAAGTGAAACCACTCTCGCTTTTAGATGGCCTCATAAACAACAACTGGCTCTTCCTTATGGCTTTGTGGCTGTTCAAAAAGACAATGACAAGGTTTTTTTGAGCTCAGGTCGACCGTGGCTTGTTATTATATGTATATATTATTATGATGTAATGTCTCGGCTGTGTATTTAAAAATGGCGCTTCCTGGGTTTTCATCTTCCTGGCTTATGCACACGCTATTGAAGTTTCTCTGTAAACCAATAGCGTTCAGCTGCGTGTCTAGCTTTGCCTTTTGGTACCCTTTAGTTGTGATTGGTACCTTTTGGAAAGGGTACCCAAAGAGTGGTACGGTTCCCTTTTTGGTACCATTTGAAAGTGTAAATGGACATAAAAGCATACCGACCCATATTGTACCACTCAGTGGAATCGGGCCATAATATGTCTCTGTAAATATCATTAGTGTAAAAAGGAACATAAGTTGTTGGCATCATACGCCCCCGATTGAATTTTACCTTAAAACTCCTTCAAAAACACATGTTTAGGTTTGTTTTGGTAGTTTCAGAAAATGCAGGCTGAATCATGTACTCACAGTGAGCCTGTGTTGACAATGTTCTACCTTCTGAAAGAAGTTTTAGAAGTTTGAAGAAAGCATTGCTGATTTTCTCATTATCGAATTAACACCCCATAAAACACCCTTGATTAGCTGAGCTGATAATAAGAGATCTAGTAAACAAACAAAAGCTGTTTTCCCCTCTGATTGCTAAAACGGCAAGCATGAGCAAGTAGGAATCAATCAGATAAAAATGTTTAATCACCCTGTCAGGTTCATTTTGCGATAATGACCGATTGACTGTACATTATCTTACTTGTACACGGCTACTTTATCGAATGAAACAATAAATTCAATCTTGATTTGAGTTGCAATTATGCTATCAGACTATCAGAATGAAGTGTTCCAGAGAGCTGTGTAATTTTCAATCAGCACATTGAGGTAGACGAGTGGATATTAAATATTATGGCAAAACCAGCTGCTAACCATGACCAAGTGGTATGATAGGTGCTGAAGTGAGTTGTTTTTGGTTTATGTGTATGTGGTTGTGGTTGTGTGTGTGTCACAGTAAAGACATTAGTGAGACCCAGATAAAACTATGTTTAAAATGTGTGGTCACGCTTCACACCTCAAAGTAATTATAATTGGGCCATACACACTCAGAAATAAACGTACAAAATCTGTCACTGGAGTGCTACTTTTTCAAAAGATACACTTTTGTATCATACACTACCTGACAAAAGTCTTTTCATCAATCGCAGTTGTAAGAGCAACAAATAATAACTTGGCCTCTGGTCGATCATTTGGAAAAGTGGCAAAAGGTAGATTTTTCCATTGAACCATCTGTTGAACTGCATCCCAATCACCGAGACCAAGAAGACCTATTGGAACCTGCATGGACCCAGGATTCTCACAGAAATCTGTCAACAGTCAGTATCGAGGCGTACGAGAGATCTGCAGAGTGGATGGCAACATCAACAGCCTGAGGTTTCAAGATATTTGTGCTGCCCATTACATTACAAACCACAGGAGAGGGCAAATTCTTCAGCAGGATAGCACTCCATCTCATACTTCAGCCTCCACATCAAAGTTCCTGAAAGCAAATAAGGTCAAGTTGCTCCAGGATTGGCCAGCCCAGTCACCAGACATGAACTTTATATTTGTTTAAACATGTGTGAGCTAAGATGACGAAGGAGAGATTGAAGATGAATCCAAAGAATCTTGATGAGCTCTGGGAGTCCTGCAAGAACGCTTTCTTTGTCATTCCACTTTATAAGTTATTTAAGTCATTGCAGAGATGTATGGATGCAGTTAACCAAGCTCCATTACAATCACATACAGGCAGTCAGGCAGCGTAACAGAGGGTGAATCAAAGCGTATCAAATGATCGGTAATTAAAAGGGAAAAATGGATTAAAATATATATACTTTTATATTAGACACACATCTGATGCTTGTATTTGCAGCAGCTCCACACCCACAACTTCACGCATTGGGTTAAATTAGGCTTTACAGTCTTCTTTACTTTCATTGTATCTGTTCAGCTGAGGGAACAGAACCAACCCTGTGACGTCAGACGCAGCAACATTCCAAGATGGCAGCGCCCTAGGTCTAAAAATCTGTAGTAAAATATGCCATTTTCTGCTAAATGGTTACATTAATCAAGTGTGTTTAGTATATTTTCATAAAAGTGGAATCCAGTTTACAAAATAATGTAAACTTGACTGAGTGCTTCATTTCCCCTTTGAGAAAAAAATATATAATAATAATAATAATGAGGTGTATTATTTACTGCATGTAGGTTAATAGAGATTTGCTGGATTTGTTTGTTGGATGGTGATCATAATCTCTTTTTGATGGACCAAATGTATATCTTAAAATTTAGCAAATTGCTTTATTTTATTACTACTGTAAATATTTATTTACAAAAATGCATTTAAACTTTACATGCTAATCGACAGTTTTATAAATAATGTTGGTGTTTTAAATTAAACATTTTGAATGAAGAAATATGAAAAAAAATACTTCAGTACAAATTTACTATTCCATCTATCGTTGAAAGAAACAGATATTTTAAGAATCTGTTAAGACCTGTTATATAATAAAATAACAAACTGCCATACACTGTATTCAACTTTACTCAGTTAGATTTTTGTCATTTACATAAATTAATTAATTAATTAATTAATTAATAACAAAACTACTATTACTATATATAATCAACTAATCATAATTAGTAATAAAATATATATTTTTTTATGCTTCACACCTTTTTAATTGTCATTTTGTGTTTCAAGAATAAGGTCCAAGATTAAAAATATGTTAAAAGTTGCTAGAAATTTTTTTTTTCTCTATTGAATGACAAGACTTTAAATAGTTACAGAACAATTCCTTTACATCAAATTGCACGATTTATTACGTGGCTAGATGTTAAACACTATTATTATCACTGGCCGAAACTGACTTACTTAAGTCAAAAACAGACCATGACTGAAATAGCACAAATGTCACTTGCTGTAAACTTGTGAATATGTGAAGTGTCACTAGCCTTCTTCGATATACAATTTTTTTTTTACAATAAATATGACATAGCAGTCTAAAATGGGACAAGCTGATGTATGGGACAAATTTTAGACTTTTGGTAGAACTTCCCTTGCTACGAGTTAGTTACATCTTTAGGAATCC